TTCTATTCTATTCTATTCTATTCTATTCTATTCTATTCTATTCTATTAAACAGCTGTGATTGTGGGTGGGTTTCCAACTGCCCAAAATTATGTGATTAAGGACTGTGGAGGAGAATGGCTGTTGAAACTGTTCAAAATTGGGCTGTAAGTAGCTCTGAGAAGGTCTGTTGTAACTTCAAACAGTCGCTAAGCGACTGGTTGTAAGTTGAGGACCATCTGTCCATGATCAGGATTCTCTTTATCCCCATTTTTCCCCTGCAGATATTTCAGGATGTTTTTTTTTTTGAAAGCGGGTAAATGTTGTGTGCTGAAAATAATTGGCAAATGCAGTGCAAGAAATCCTAGACTGCATTTCTGATTCCATTCATAAGATAGAACCAAGAAATGGGTGGATCCTTTAGAACAGGGGTGTCCAACCTTGAAAACTTTAAGACTTGTGGACTACAACTCCCAGAATCCCCTAGACAGCTGTGCTGGCTGAAGAATTCTGGGTGTTGAAGTCCGTAAGTCTTAAAGTTGCCAAGGATGGACAGCGTTGTTTCAAAACATGCCTTTTTGGAAGTCTTGGGAGAAAAAAAATTCACTTATCCATCCTTTTTTTCTGAGAAAGCTCTAAAACTCTGGTGGTAGATGTTCTCAACAACCAGATCAAGTTTAGAAGTTTTAACTGGGGTTGGTTTTGAATCCCCACCCCATTTAAACAGGCAAAAAAGTGACACACACTGAATTAACAGTTTAATAGAGTTGGAAGGGGCCTTGTAGGTCATCTAGCCAACCCCTTGCCCAAGCAGGAGACCCTATACCATTGCTGACAGAGGGCAGTCCAGTCTCTTGTTGAAAGCTTCCAGTGTATCTTCTGAAGGCTAGCTGTTCCACCGGTTGATTGTTCTCACTGTCAGAAAATTTCTTCTTATTTCCAGGTTGAATCTCATATATATATATATATATATGTTCAGATTCATCATTAGAGTCTTAGGGTGTAGTGTTCTCTGAGCTTGGGATGTTTGATTGACAGATGGTTCATTACATGGCTAGGGAGCATTTTCACTGCTATTCTTTTGGAGGCATGAGTTGTGGAAGGTATAATTTCCATCTTATCAAACTTGTATATAATTGCATGGGCCACACTGTTGGGCATGGTTTTTTTGTGATTGGCACATCGTTCTCTGATTGTTGTCATGTGGAGACAATGCCATCTCTTGCTTATTTGGGTATTAATTAATAGTTTGTAGGTAGAAGGAGGTGTTACTGAGATCTGTCCTCTTTTCTCTTTGATCGTGGAAGAAATTACATAGCCAGGTAATGAGATGAGAATCCTTATAACCCTATTTACAGCTGCCATGGACCCTTCACTGGTGCGGTACTTGAGGTGACACAAAACCTAGAGGGTGTTAGATTAGGAAATTAACCAACGGGCTCTTTTTTAAAAATCACAAGTTATGCATTTCACCATAATTGAGGACATTTAATTGGTGAGCTTTCAGCCGTTTTCAAGTACAGTCAGCAGGGTGGGAAAGGTGTTGATAAAGTCATTTTGTTTGCAGTTGGAGTGTGAACC